TTACAGAGAATATAGTAATACAACTTCTAATATTTAAAACACCTCACTTGGTACTTTCAGATAAAATAGCAGACAGGCTGAGCACGTGGGTTTGAAACCTCTCCCTCTAAGACCCCAAGTAATTAAAATGGTATAAACCTACAACAGCAACAAGTACAGAGAGGGGCAATCTGCAAAAGAAGTTTCAGCAAAATTCTGGAAGCTGGAAAGTGAAGAATGTTGAGTACTGAAGAAGGACAAAGGAAGCCATAGCTTTGAATATGCTCTGGAGACAAGAACAAAGATGGCAGCCAACATGCCCAGCAGAACTCTGGAAAGGAAAGAACAGGAGACATGATGGAAGATGAGTCAGAAGTGAGAGCGAACACAGGGGCATTAACTGAAGATCTGTAAAAAGATCCTGCCACCTACTTCTCCCACTGCTGATAAAACAGTCAGGCCGAGTAGCATCGCAGAGCAGTGGGAAAAGGAAAGAATATTCAATAAATAACAGTAGGGCAATTGGTTATTCCCATAGGGGAAAAACAAACAAATCAGACCCCAACCTCAAACTTAAAAATCAATTTTAGGTTAAAGACTAAAATATGAAAGGCTAAATTTTAAACCTTTAGAAAGACAAAATGGGGGAATATTTTTATAATCTCAATGTGGTAAAAGATTTTTTTTCCTTAAACACAATCTAAATGTGTAAACCATAAACGAAAAGGTATACATATTGGTATCTTCAAAATATAAACAGTATTTAACGTCAAAGACATATATGAGCAAAAAGTATATCCAAATCTTATAAATCAAGAAATAGCATGATACATTTAGAGATTTGGTAGAAAAGGAGTTAGTAAGATATACCTAAAAAAAAAAAAAAAAAAAGGAGTAGTCACATAGGTAAAAGGGAAATCAGGTGAATATGCTATCAAGAAAGTCAATGCAGACAGCCTTTCAACAATGAAGAGTGTCAACTATGTCAAATGGTATGGAGAGTTCAAGTAAAATAAGGACTTAAAGTTCAAAAAGTCAACGTGGATCCTCAAGGTAAAAGCTCCTGGTGTAGACACATACAAGGTATAATAAGCTCTTTTAGAAATATTTCTACCTTTCTGATGTAAGAGATTTTACAGGAATCAGATAACCACAAACTAAATTGAAGAAATCATCTGCCAACCACTACAAGTTATAAGTAACTGATTTTGCACTATAGTCTCCACAAATAATTCACTGTCTATCTTTAAAGTTTTATTTTTCTGACTTCATATATAAATATCATCTGTGTCTTCTTGACTTAACAGTTTTTAGGTCATTAAAAAGGGTCAGACCAAGATAACGTAATGGCGTCTCCATGGCACCTTGAATGTACATCAGTAGGAAATAAATCTTTTGCCAGAAACTGTGGATCTCTTTCCTAATGATTCATTACTGCTCTCCACATCCTCTCCATTGAACCCATACATCACTTTTCCCATCTCGCCCAAACTCTTCCTTCGTGGTCCTTGCTTAAAAAGCCTCTGACTTTGTGGAACTCCTAATAAAAATTCTGAAACTCTTGGCAGTAACTATAAAGCATAACAATTTTCACTAACAGATACTTCCTCTTTCTCTTGGAACTGATTGCTTGTTTTTGAAACCATAAAAGTAAAGACTCTATAATTTTAAATTATTTTAGAGGGTCGCAAAATTTTGAGCCATGAGTTGCTTAAAAAGTATAAAGTGATAGGAAAGTCACATTAATAGTCTGGAATCTACCTATGAGACATAGTTCGCTAGGTAAAAGAGCCAATTAATAAACAAAGACACTCCTGCACTCACTGCAGCTGCCAACACTAGTAAAACCTGAACAGCAAACAGCCCTGTAACGAGAGCATAGGATGCATGGCTGAGATTGGAAGGAGAGAAGGCTGGTCATTGTTGAATACCTCGGTCCCTGGTTCCACACCTGGTTCTACCACCAGTAACTTCAGTGTCTACGATAATAGTTTCAACTGATCTTCTCTCCTCTGATGACCTTCACTTCTACTCTTCTCCAACAATCCACTCCCATGGCCAAAACAATGGCCTCCAAATTGCTCTTAATGTTGTCATTACTTAGATATGTTCCACCTCTAAAAGCTTCAACTTCAAAAACTTACTCTGACCATAAATTCTTACTATTCCAGCTCACTATTAACCCTCTTACTTCATATCCTTCTCATCTTCAACCTCATTTACACTTCCAGCCCCAGAAATAGTAAATTTTCTCCCAATCTGTTGGCAACCTTCTGTTTTTCAATTCCTTAAAAATCTAGCCTAGACCACATGACCTATCATTTCTGTCTTTTGTCATTATACTTGAATTTTTTATTCCTTATCTTTGATCCTTTATCTCCTTATTCTTTATCAGACATTTAGGTTCTTTACTGTTATACCTAGCTACTCTGTGCTCCTGGAATACTCACTCAACAATTCAGACTAAATGCTACAATTTCATGGTCTCTAGCCTCATTTAGTTCCTCAGAATTTTCCTTCAATCTTTCAACACTTCCCCAGTTAGCTTCCTCTGGAAACCAAACAAGACTCGAAAAAATGGAGAGACAGACCATGATTTTTAAAGTGATGCTTTATTAGCTTACAACTGTCAATCCTTCCAAAATCAATAACTTAAATGTCATTTGAATAAGATTCTTAACATTCCTAGATTAAATCATTTTAAATTTAAATTCATATGGAAGAACAAGTGTTTGAGAATTGAAACTTTGAAAATAATGAAAGCAGATTTCCCTTCCTAGGTATTAAAACTTACTACAAAACTACTATAATCAAAATAGTCTGGTATTGGCATAAAAACAGATAAGTAGAAAGTCCAGAAATACATCCAAATACTTATGGGAACTTAAATAAGATGAAAATGGCATTCTCATTTAAAAAGAGAATAGTTTAATTAAGGCATGCTATTAGCAAACTGACTAGTCAATTGAAATAAAATCAAGTTAGACTCTTACCTAACACCATATATAAAAATAAATTTGATGTATTAAAGGACTAACTTTTAAAACCTTATTAAAATTTTAGAATAAAATTTGCAAGATTATTTGGATAAACTTGGGACCAGGAAACCCTCTTAAGGAAGATAGGAAAAATATTTTTTAAAAAAGAAAAATCAGAAATAGAACTGATGTGTAGTACTTCATAAATCTAAAGTCCAACGATACAAAGTTTTAACTTTATAAAGTCTTACAGCTCTAACCAACTATAACTATATTTTGACATTTAAATGATATTAAATAAAACTCTAGGGAAATATAAGAATGATATGTTTGTCATATAAATTATTACTTAATTAGAATTTCTATTCTTGTTGCCTTATTTTTCTAGCTGAAAGATCTAAGAAGTTCTATATGTGGATACCCAAGTGAGCTGAAGGAAGTACACTGACCAATATAAATTAATCCTATAATTAAAATTTTTTAAGTATATTTGTCTAAACTTATGTCAGCACTCTTTAACTTCAGAAAACTTCCAAAATATTATTCTAATGCTTCTTAAATTACTTTCTTTAATACATTATTTATATATGAAAAGCTTAAAGAATACTGGCTAAAAACTTGAAATAAAGCTACAGTATAGTTAGTTGGAAATGTGTTTCAGAATTTGGTTACGGTCATTAGATAACTGTGCTTCATTAAATGAAACAGAATTGAAATGCATTTGATCTTTGATTTTTAGGCTTTATTTTTAAATTATATATATTTTTAAAA